CAATTTAAATCAAACACTTTTAGTCCAATTAAATTATTATGTTTGAGGTAGGTAGTAGTTTAAATGGTTAAAATAACATGTAAACATTTTTTTTTTAAGTTAAAATATTATTTTTTTAAAGAGTGTTAAAATTTATTGTGATTTATGTTTTTTATAAATTAATAATAATGTATTTTAAATTAAAAAAATTATATTGATACTTTGTTATTAATTTATCAGTGTATTTATTATATTTTAAATTGCAAATTCTGTTATTGTTAGTCCAACACTTGCAAATAAATTTTAYTAGTTTATTAGTTAATAGGTTAGGTTAGGTTACAAATATTAATACAAGTTTTACAATGTACATTGTGCTGTCAACATTTTTTAAGCACTTGCAGAGAGCAGCTATGATTTGAGTTTCACACAAAAATTCAAAATATATATAGGTAATGATAACTTTTTTATTTTAAATCTTTTAAATCTTTCAATTCTAACAGCCATTATTAATGTATCCATCCAAAATTACTGAATATCTATGATATCAAAGTTAAGGAAAATTATACTTATCAACAAAGTTATTATTAATATAATATCCATACACTTAATATTTGATTATATCAATATGGCTGTTTAATTTATTTATTAGAAAATATTTTTGTTTTTTGTAGAACACTAATGGTAAATAATGAAWATTATTATGGTTTTCGGATGACTACATAAAATAATTTAACATCAGTTAATCTAAATAAAGATAAAAATAATACAAAAAGGTACTTTTAAACATAATTCATATTATCCATTTTAACAATATTATATGATATATTTTATAAAAAGTTGTAACTTTATTGTCTTAAAGTAAGTTTTACATTCTAAACAAGTAGATGTACAAACCTATTATTCAATATTTCAATCACTTCTTCCATTTTTTAGAGCATTTATATAGTACAAGTGATCACGTGCAGTAGCTAATATTCCTCCAACATGCATCATACTTGTATACTTTTCGTATGTAATATCTTCATTTTCCAATGATGTCATATCCCCTCCTATACTTTTTAGTATGGCATGTCCAGCACATATATCCCATTTTTTTATGTTGGTTGTATGAATATAAGCTGATGAATTTCCAAACAAAACTTGTAGAACTTTGAATCCTGCGCCTCCTGCAGTTACAACTGGTAAACCATATAGCCGTTGGTTTAATAAACCCATTACATCACCTTTGTGTGATCTTGAAATAATGATTGATCTTTTGTTAGGAACCTAATCAAAGTAATAAAATATACTTAAGTAAATAAAATAAAAATTATTTGTCCTATAAAAAGTCGATATAAAAAAATAATATGTGCAGGGATGGATAAGGCCTTTGGAAAATCGGAAAACTTCCAATCGATATAAGCTAACAAATTGATGAATGACAGGGCTGTTATGTTAGATACCAAACTCCATAGCTGTAGCATGTTGCTAATAACTTATATTTAGATACCTAAAATTAATTTTTTGTTATGGATATCTTTTAATTTTTTCTCATAGYATGAATTGCAATTTGTAAAACAACTGTTTATAACTAATATGAATAATGCTTAATGTTAATTAATATTACTATATTTATACAAATATAACAGAAACTGAATAATAATTAATGAGTATCTATTAAGCACACAATACAGGGTGATCCTTTTATCAAACAACACTCATATGGTGTTTGTGTGTAAATACCACCGAACATACACCTATAACACACAAACACCACCCAAAACCACCCAACTTTGGG